AGTTGCAACCAGAGTCACGGAACGGATTAAGTTCGTAACTAGAGGTACCACTGTACCTTTAATTCTTGATGGAATTGAGTATTTTGGATATCATGTACAGTATTCTAAAAGTTAATTTTCTAGCTTTTTAGTTTTACCAAACACACAGAATCTAAAATATCAGTATTTTTTTTTACATATGAGCCAGTTTAAACTAACACACTGGCCTTGGACTAAGGGGGATGTCAGATCCCTTATTGAATTTTTTCTGTTAGTAGAAATGTTTTTCTGGACATTCATTGTTGTTTGTTTGTTTGTTACATTTATATAGCTGCCCATCTCACACAAAGTGACTCTGGGCAGCATACAACAATTAAATAAAACAGCAAATAAATTAAAAAACAATAATTATAAAAAGGTAAAAAGTAATTAATAAAATAAAAATCATTATGAAAAGATAAGAAGTAATTACTAAAATTAAAATCATATCAAAATTTTAAAATGTACAAACCCCACAAGACAGCAGAATATCAATCATATTGGAGCCATCTAAGAATGTCTCTGGTTCCCAAAGACCACCAGGCCTGATGACATAACCAGGTCTTGAGGGATTTCCTAGACAATAGGAAGGAGCAAGCCTAACTTCAGGAGGGAGAATGTTCCATAAAGAGGGAGCCATGGCTGAGAAGGCCCATCTCCTGGGACCCACCAAATGCAAGTCCCTGGCTGATGGAACCTGTAGCATACCTTCTCTGCCAGATCTAATGGGATGGGCTGATGTAATCAGGGAGAGGCAGTCTTTTTCTTGTTTTTACTATTTTTAATACTGGGTACTGCCAAAGGCTTATGGAGTTGGCCAGTCTTCTAAAATAAATAACATCAGCATTACACAATGGTGCACCTGAGGTGGGATGTGATGTTAACTACATGGAATAGAAAGTAAATACAATAGAATTAAAGATGTTACTTCCAAGTTTTGAATGCTGAATCTAAACCACAAGTCATCAACAGTTGCACACAGAGAGAGAGCACTATTTCCGAACATTTCCTGACTTCAGGAGGAACATTGGTAATTGCAGAGGGCTCAGTGAGAAGAGATGATGGGAATAGCTTTTTGTGAGAAGCTGCAAGCAGTTTATGATAGACTGAAATGATGTTCCCGGTATTCTTAATGCCCCAGTATCAATTTTTAAGGGGCCAGCTTCATTTAGGCATTTCTGTTATCTTTATTTTGAAACTTTTAAAAAATAATTTCTTCCTTTTTACATCTTTGCAAACACTAATGTGAGGTAATTGTACTAGAATCCTAATAAAATTTCTTAGTGAAATGTTGATTTCTAATCTTCCATTTTCTAATGCTTTTTATATAAATTGATTTCCGATAAAGTTTCTTGGAATTGTACACTCACTGGTTAGATACACTCTCCCAAATGCCATATCAGTTCATGGCTTTTTTCCTTAAATCTTTTCTAGATCTTTGTCATAACCTGTCTCCAAAGACAATACAAAAAGAGCTATTATTTTCTTCAGTTTGGTTTATATCGTATGTCTGAAAATAGTTCAATTGTGCTTGTCCTAGGTTCCTGGTAGCAAGTCATCCAGTGACCTCGTTGATCTTTTGTTCGATGGTACAGACCAATCTGTTTCAACAGGTAAAGTGCATTTTCTGTTTTGAGTAGTTGCTGTAGAAAAATCATGAACAGCTAAAGAAGACAGTATAAGAGATACAGAACTATGAAGATGCTGCATCCAAATTACCTTATTATATAGATTAACACCAACATGAACACTTAGGAGGATTCATAAAGTTGGTCTGTCAGGAATGCAGGGTTGTTCATAACTAATTATGAAAGTGTGTGATTCAGTCAAGTTTCAACCTTTAGCATGCTACACACACTGAGAGAGCAAGGAAGAAGAGAGATAGAAGTAGATGAGTTCAAGTCCACAAGTTATATTTATTATTTGCAACAAAACTGAACTAAGTGTTTTTATTCCAAATTGTCCAGTGACTCTGTCTGGTCCCAGACAATTAGAGAGCCAATTTGGTCTAGTGGTTAGGGCTCCAGGCTAGAAAGCAGGAGACTGTGAGTTCTAGTCCCGCTTTAGGCATGAAAGCCAGCTGGGTGACTTTGGGCCAGTCTCTCTCTCTCAGCCCATGACGTCAGACTCAGTGACAAGTCGATCAGTCAGCTCCTGTCGCAACTAATGGATCAACATCCAGTTGATCCGGGGGGGAAAAACCGGGCCCTGCACGTGCGGGAAGAACATTAGGAAGAAAAAAAACTCTGGTCTAGTCCCAGTCTAGAAGCAGAAATAATAAATCTCTTATTTTCTAAATCTGATGTTTGTTATTTTGTAGGCTATTAACTGAAAATAAGATCAATTTTAGATCAAAATAATGTGAAAATAAGATGAACTTTTAATTTCTTGTCTTTTTCTAAATAATCCTATCACAACAGCTAAGAATTATATGTGATTGGCATGAAATATTAGCACCCAGCCAACTTTAACTGATTTTTGAAAGCTATCCATGGTCAACCCAGTTGAGTACTTGGATGGAGGATCATGCAGGAAGGCCAGGGAAGTAAGCTATGCTGGGGGAAAGAATCTAGGAGGCAATAGCAAGTGAATTCCATATTTCTACCAAGCAGTTTTATACAAAATATTTTCTTTCAGATTTGATTGTTAAGATTTGCAAGATGTCCAGCCTCAAATGTAAAATGGACTGTTTAAAACATTTTGGAGTATTTCAAACTTGAAAACATTCCACTGGTACTCCAGATACCATTTTTTCCACTTTCAGAGCAGAAATGTCCCAGTTATGGAAGCTGGGAGACTTGATTTCCTCACCATGAGTCAGGACTATTGGCAGAAGAGAGGATGATCTCATCCCTCTTACTGCAGGAGGAAGTCTGCCCGTGTGTCTGATTTGGCCCAACCTGCTTAACATTATTCTTCATGCCTCTCTCCTCAAAACATAAGGTTTGGCAATGAGTACCAGAAGATTCCCTGCCATCTGATTTAGGCCTTTTTCTTTAGAGAGAACATTTTAACTGAAGCTGAATGTCAACATCCATATTTAGGAAGCTTTTAATAATGTGCATATTTTTGTGTATGACTTCATTCTTTATCTCTGAGCATATTTTTCTGAAATGTAATAAATAGCAACTTGTCTAGCAACTTGAAACCTTTGCTGAAATAGAGGTTTCTAGTTTAGTTTCAAAATATAATTCATATGTTTGTCCATATATACATGAATACATGTATATGTATTTTAAAAGACACTATTATATGTGTATATCCTCATGTTAACAAAGATAAACAGGTCTTATTATGCTTTAATCATTCCCCTTTCTTAAAACATGTGTATCTGCCTATTAATGCAAGGATAGTGTCAAAGATATTTTATTTTCTTAGTCTTGATTACTTTAAAATAGAAACATTTTGATTATTTCTCATTTTTTACAATTTACTTTCTTAATTCTTTCTAAAACCAGATCATGTTTCTATTTAGGTAAACATTGCTCTATAGTCTGTCTAATAATAATGTCCTAGTGTTGTAAAACAGTATTATTTATTAAAATCTTTTGACTTTTTAAAATATACCATCATGTAGATAAATAGATACAAAGACACAAATGGTGCCTTCATCCAGAGTTGGTTTCCCAGATAATATACAGTTCATAAAAATAATAGTCACTACTTAATACTCACAACAGCAGTATGAAATAAACACACACACACACACACACTTCTAAGAACTATAATTTTTTATCTAACCTATAGCTCTCTCCTGCTTAAAAATTAGAGGGCTTCCATTAGTTCCTGGGGCTCACTGGACTTCAGCCAATTGGTTAGGCACAGAGCCATCCCTGCAGATGTGCGCAAGAGATGTAAAGGGAAGAAGAAACATACTTTCATGTGCTACTGGGACACTTTAGGCACATCCTTTAGTCATATGGGAGCCACTTCCCTTTGAATGAATCCTCTGCAGCTGGACCTGAAGCAGAATGGGACTCCTATTTTGAGGGTTCATCTAAAAGGCACCTTGGTTCAAATACATTAAGTTTATAATGCTTATGACTATGTCAGCTCACTAACTAATATTCCTCTTAAAGCAATGGGTTAACCAGTATTGTTTGAATGATTTTGACAACTGGCCATACGGGCTTTAACTAACAGGAGGTGTAATCCAAAACATCTTTCCCATGCATAGGCCAGTGGTAGTTGCAGAATGATCTGCTTTACATAAAATATTGTTAAGATATTTTTATGCAAAATACGTATTTAGAAAATACAAAGTAAGTTTAGTAAAAGTAAACTTCTTTATAATGTTGGAATATATGTGTGTTGAAATGAAATGCTACTTTACTATTTCTAATGATGTAAAAATAGACAATTTATTTTAAAAAGACAGTATTTCTTTTTCTCTTCACATCCCTGAATTAGATGACCTGATTTAAGCCAGCTTTTCTCACAGCGGTGACATGGACCTTCCCCAGAAGTGGCTCCACCCACAAGCCCTTCCCAGCTGGGTGCAAAGCTCTTTGGATCTCACTCTCATACCATCTCCCATATTGTTTGCTGTTTAGTAAATGAATGGCTTTTTCTCCCCGTTCGACTGGATAAAGAATAGTTCTCGCATTCTAAGACAATCTCTAATATTGTATACAGATCTGTTATGGATAGATCTAAAGACATGAGGTAGCTTGTTCCCTATTTAAGTCATGCTGGAGTTGACAAGTACAATGTGACTGTCTGCAATGGAGAGCCTTTCACATGAGCTGGGACTCTGCATTGTTAGCCAAAAACGTCTCATGAGAACAGAGCATGCAGGTCTTTCTTCTGAGCTCTGCTCCTGCAGTTGAGAAATCTTTTTAGGTGACTAGTTTAACTAAGCTGGAAAGCAATCCATTCTTCTTTCTGTGCTCTGATGGAAATTAGAAATTATCCACACCGTGTCAGCATTTAGGAGATGTCCTAGGGATGAGATGCATTACCAGCTTGCTACCACAAATAATGTCTTTGCTGTCCTAAGGGGACAGATGGAGTTAATTTATAATGACCATTCTCACTTGGGAGTCTTTGTATGTAACTGTTGTCCTTCATAAGCAGATAATCACTGTCCTTGGCCAGTGTGTAACTTGCTGCGTGTGGCATTGGTCCATACTTTGTGTCATATACAGAATGGATCTAAAATAAGCTTTACTTCCTTATGTTAAAAAAAAGGGGGGGAGGACAGGAAAATATATGCTGCAAAGAATTGGTGTATTTTCCCTTTGCTAGAGATTTTCTTAGAGATTTAGCAATTTCCTCACTAATTTCACGTTGGAATTTAGCTTGCGTTTGTCATCTTAGGATGACATTTAAATTGGTTATTTAGTTTCTTTTGCCTATAGTATCTTAAATCTTTAAGACCATATTTTTTGAAGTTTCTAATTATCAGACTTTCCTGAAACTCATATACAATACAATGCATGTAGATGTGCTGTGTAACATTGTGCAAAGATAACTCCTTTTTATCTTGGTCTTTGTGTATGTATGTGTGTGTGTGCTCAGGTTTTCATAGATTCCTACCATGACCCCCCGTCATTATTTTAACTCAGCACTGGAAGATACCCAGGGTGACCCTTCTATAAGCACCACAAAATAATCCACAGGATAAGAATTTGAGACAGATCTGGGGACTATTCTCAGTATTTCCTACTTAATAACAAATCAATGTACATTCCAAAGATAGATGCTTCTGTTTGAGAGCCAAGCCAGCCAACCTAACCTTGACTACAAATGGCATTAAAAAGAAATACAAGTACACATGTTGTAGAAAGGGAATTGTTCATTTTATTGCTGCTAGCCATTTATTAAAAAGGAGATGGTTCTAGTTTAATTAACTGAGTTGAAAGCAGCAGATGGAACAGAATGTCTTGCAGCGATAAGACAATTCAGAAATGGTACCAGATGTTGGAAACTGTCCCTGGTGTTGTTTGAGTGCAACACAGATGTTACAGTCCCACCTGGCTAGTTTCTAAGCACTGCAGGCTAAACAGCTGTGATGTAACCCGTATAATGTACACAGGCACTAAAAGTAGAATAATTGAGCCACTGGTACTTCCTCAAAGGGTGTGACCACTCAGAGATGAAATCTTTTAAGGACAAACGAAGAGTAAGGCCAACTTTTTTTAGTACTTTCAGGGGAAGAAAGGAACTAATTAATACATTGCACAGGAAGCTCAAATTCCTGTATTAATGAGAGGTTGATTGTGCAGCAATGAACACAGGCTCAAATAAACACTCTGCAAATGCTCATTAACATATACAGGTTTAAAAAATTAAAGAGCAGTTTTTCTCCTGGGTCTAATAGCAGTTTTAGAGGGGGCTGATTTTTGTTCCAATTATGGAAGTCGTCCTGAAGTATCAGAGTCCCAATTCTTGTCCATCAATCTTGTCTTATGTGGACACCAAATGTATTACGATGCTAAGCTACAGAAAGATACCTTTTTCTCCTTGACTGAGACTCTCTGTGAAATGGCTGATGCATTATGACTATGTCCAATTGAATTTTATTACTTTTTTCTATTTTGATTTATAAAATATTGTTGGGAAGAATAATTGAAGTACTGTATTTTGAATTAATTGGTTTTTAGTAACTTGTGTTCTGGAAAGAAAGTATGTCAACTTATGAAAAATAAAACCCAATTTAGATTATATAACTTGAAATGTGGAATCTTGTGCTCATCGTTTATGCTTTCATTTGTGCAAGATTTAATGTGTGCGAAGTCATTTTAAATGTTTTATTGTTGGCAGCATAATAAGCAAAAAGAGGGAGATTTTATTTTTAATTTTTTAAAACATTATTCTGTATCTTGTTGGAATTAGAATTGTTTTAACACTTGCTATTATGACAACAAGCCTTTGCCTTCTGTGTAATTCTTATGAATTATGACAAGCATTATATCATGCAGGCTGGAAAGTTCTTTTGCATTGCTATATAAGTGGTAAGATAGACATGACTTGTATAAGAAGAATGATTCAGTTTGATTTGGATCAATAATGTACATAAAAGGGGAGAAATGAAAAGTTGGGCCATCTATGGGTCTCATTATATATTTAGCTTGGATTGCATTGTTTAAGAGTAATTTCTTTATTGCCTCTGCTCTGTCTCTTCTGTGTTTTCAGCATTAGTATGGATCTTCCATTTTCTATGTCCACTGTGAGTTGCCTGCTGGATCCCTCTTGATTACATTCTCTTAAGTTCTTCTTATAAAAAGTGTGTGTAAACTATAACAAAGGAAGTATTTCTGTCCTACTTCACTGTAACCTGCCTTTCGATTCCTTTGGTTTTAGGTGGCTCCACTGACCTCTTTGGAGGCTTTGCTGACTTCAGCTCTCCTGCAGCTGCTGCTGCTGCCTCTGCAAGCTGTCCCTCATCGCAAGGTAGGAAAGGGAATAGAATAGACTCCAAAACTGTTTTGCGCTATTTTGCTAGAACCAAAAATCAAGTACTGGTTCTTTAGTTTGAATAAAGGATTAAAAAACAAAACAGCTGTTGACCTGGGGATGAGGGGAGAATCCACTATTCGTTTATTACAATAACCAAAGGCTGTAGTAGGCAGGATGATCATTCACACTGATGGGAGGAAATTCTGTGATTTTGATTTACATTATAGATGTGTTAAATCTTTCCAGAGGCCTATAAAAACTATTTTCTTTGGTTTTTACTGAAAATCTGCATGAAATCTCATCTCTGCTATTTGGCAGTTTGCCACTCAGTGTTAAAACTGCATTTTTTAAAGAGCACTGAGCCCCACAATAGGGGATTTGGGAGCCATACATTTCCCACCCCTGCTTTAGGCCAACCTGTTCAGAGGGATATTGATTTCTGTCCTTTCTGTAATAGAGTATTTACCCCAGTGTATTAGTTCTGCTTCTTATAACATAAGAATATAGATTGTTTTGAAAATCTAGATTAACAAGATTTAAACTTATTTATTCTCAATCTCTTTTGAGCATTTTTATGTTGATCAGGTCATTCAGAATTAGGAAATATCAAACATGTTTATTATGCCTCCACCATGTTGTTATGCTGAATCAAACAATTTCATTCCTCAAGTATTTTTTCCCCCTTTTCTTGTGGGAATGTGTGCAGTTTCTCTGTTTCAATGATTGCAGGTTACATGCCTCTCTTTCTTCCTCTCTCTTAAGGAGACCAAGAATTATAGGGCTTCTCATAGCATACAAATATAATTGGTGCTGTTTCTCTTGATATGATGTTAGAAGTGCTGGTACCTTGTAGCAGGAAGTACCATCATTTGTTTGGTTGTATGCACTTCCTGAAATTGTCCAGAGAGCTTTTCACTGCTGAGTCCCAGGAAATATTAGGAGCGGGTCCATCTATGTAATGCTTCTGTCCTTTAGAACTTGAAGGCAATTAAAAAATCTCAGCTTTAGAAAGCTTTCAAAAATCTTATACAGCTTAATTGGTCTCAGTATGTTTGCAGTAGTTCTAGATCCAGTATTTTAATTCTGTAACTGTTTGTTTGGTTTCTTTAAAATACGTTTTATAATCTTTTATGAATGCCTTAATAGATTTTAAAGCAAGGCTGTGTAGAAATACTTTATACATGTTGACAATACATAAAAAGTTGAATGGCATGTTTAGAAAGCCATCTTGAAAAATGATGTGAACCTATTGTTCCTGCTGTGGAATTCCATAATGTCTGCTGCATAATCTGAAGAAATTGATTGGACAATGGCAGTCAATGCACTTTGACACCAGTATGTAATCTGATTTTATTCCTGCTTATTAGAAGAGTAGATTTAGACAGTCAAGAACCCAAAATTGTCTCAGTAATGACAGTAAATGGGTGTGTGATACGTGTTTGTTGTTTGCACCATATTCACCGTCTTGTTTCATATTCAATGTTTTGATTCCAGTTGTATAATTTGGTATTTTGTTTTTATGGTGGGAGCTGGCCAGAGTTGATTTGGAGTCAGGTGGCACCTAAGACTAATTAATTGTGCTTCTGTGTATAGGAAGTGGACACGCCATTCTGTTTCCTATGGTATCTGTAATAATGGTGCTTATGTAATCTACACAAAAACTCTTGAAGAACCATAGACCACTAGTTCTGTATCTTGTGGTGTTGAAAAACATCTTTAAAATGGTTGTATTGTTTTAGGCAGAATAGCCACATGTCCTAGAAGGGAGAAGAGAGAGAATTGCTTATTTTCATTTATTTATTTATTTATTTATTTAAGAAAGATTCTTACAAATAAAAATTGCCCAGTGGGGGAAAAAGGCCTGAAATTTCTTATTACTGATGATATCGGATCCCAAACCAATGGATCATCTCACCCAGGAGTTTCATGTACACATTAAAGAAAAAAACCTTGGTCCAACCACTTTCTCAACAGTCTTCCCTAAAAAGAGAAGGGGGGTTGGGTGATAGTTATTTAAAACCATTGAGTCCAAGGACGGCCTCTTGAAGAGAGGGCATGCTATTGGCCCTTTCAAGGCTGGACGCACCCCCCCATCCCTGGACGCACCCCCCCATCCCTGTGTCTGTAAAGAAGCCGACACCATGACATGGACCCAACCACAGGTCACCCCCCTGGTTGCTTTCACAACCCAGGAGAGACCCAGGTCCAGCAAACAGGTGATTAAATTAACAGCATCAAGAACCCTGTCCACTTCTTCAGGAGTCCCAGTTCAAACCCATTCCAGATCACACTGCATGACAACCCAGGCACCTCAACCAGGCCTGTCCAGTTGGAGTCCAACTTGGAGCAGACTCAGGCTACTTTATCCACCATCTGGCCAGAATATTCCTTGCAGAGTCCCTGTAAATGGTTCTGTGGCCCATGCCTACACAAGGCATCAGGTCACCCTAAGTAGGGCCACTGGATGCAATGAAGGCAGAGAAATATTGCCATATTGCCATCCTTGTTGCCATGAGGTAATCCCTAATATCTTAACCATCAGATTCACTCTGAGTCCTCCTCCACTGGTGCTCCATGTGTCCCTTAATGCCCTGGAGCTCCTCGGTAAACCAAGGTGTGCCCTGGGTTCGGCATATAATGAGAGGCCACATGGGGTGATGCTGCCCAAGACCCTCACCACCCACCCATTCCAGACAGCAACTGGAGCCTCAACTGAACCACCTACCAGTTCCTTGGGGAAAACCCCAAGCTCCCTTTGGAACCCCAATGGGTCTGTCAGTTGCCTAGAGCAGGCCAATCAAACAGGATCTATTTTTGTCATATTGATGTAGTACTATCATAATTGCTATATTATCCTTTAAAATACTCATAATGAATCAATTTCTTTTCTTAGTTGATGAGCATTTAGTAGTGTAGAAAATTTTTAATTAAAGAACAACTGAAAAGTTGCTCTGTAGCAAAGTATGTCTGTTAGATTTTTTTTTCAGTCATCAGTAAAAGTATGTTATATGGGGAAGAAGATCTGAGTTGATCTGAGAACTGTGCCTTTAAATACTTTAAAATGCACTGTTCTGCCTAGATCTTTACAGATTATTAAAAATGTTGTTTTGGATAGTTGAATTCTGTTATGCAAATATTGTAGTATAACTTGATAATATTCCTTTATCAATATTACTATGATTAATCTGTACTGATCACCATTATGTAAGCAGGCAATTATGATTAATCATTCTTGAACAACAAAGCCCCTCTAGAAATCTTGGTTGATTCATCATCTTTGCTAAAGTTCCCCAAAGAATGGCAACAAATACCTCTCTATTTCCCCACTTCCTTTGTATGTGTATTGGAATATGAGCATCCAGTAACTGGAGAATCAACACATTCAGCAGTTACTTACCCATCAGGAATACTTCAAATGTGCTTACATTTTTAATAGGCAAGACTAATTGAAACACTCCCAGTAAAGTCCTTTTTCTAAGGGAGATCAAAGCAAATGTTTCATCATAGCCCCAAGCTAATGAATTTCAACCTGCTACTTGCATTAAAGTGCATCATTGTGCGTAGAGGTGTGTATCTTCTTTTCCCTCCCTGTCCTTGCTTACTTAAATTTTAATCCACCTCTGGAAGTGAAATTAATTAAAATAAAGGGTTTTATACCCAGGTGCACAGGTAATATTAAGAGTTACTGAAGTGAGGTGTAAATTATTGCAACAACTTTATGATTAAGCACATTAGATTCTAGGTAATCTGCAAGTTTGTCGATCACTAATTCCTTATTATCAGTACAGGTTGGATTATTCTGCAGTCAGAAGGGTCTCATCTCTGTGACCTTATATTTCCCAAGTCTTTCATTGCTCACTTCAAAAACTCATCTAGTGCAATTCATGAAAAAGTTCTGAATTACTCCCTTTTAGTCCTGCACTGACATTAAATATAAAATGTTAGTTGCAAGGTGTAAATCTGTATAATAAGCAACATTGGTGTCCATTACCTTCCTGGTTGAAGTATGAGACAAAATGATTGGTTAATCATTTATTAACCAAAATTTTGTTTTATTATGTGTAACTGAAAGGTCTAGTATTCATCAGTGGCTAATGAGTGAAAATTATCACCAAAATCTTCTTCACATTAAAAAAGGATTACACATCATTTTTATCACCATCTATACAACTTGCAGGTTTGCTTATAAGTTTATTCAAGTAAAATATGTATTTTTATAAAATATGGAAGTAGATTCCTCTATAAAAGGAAAGGAAGCAATTGGAGTGCTACTCTCTGTATTTTCTGTGGAAAGATTTGAGTGTGTGTGAGAGCTTTAAATGCATATTTATCAAAGCACCCGCAGAGTGCTAAATAAATAGTATATAATGCTGTCAACCAGCACAACAGAGGTGAGATAAACACCCAGAGGCAGTTGAATTTGAAAGCCATGATTTTATTGGTATCCCACTTAGCTATACTGATTTAATAACTCTTTGTACAGCAAGTAATTTATATGTAATCAGATGAGTTTGAACAAATTGCTGTTTTTATTACTTATTACTGTGAGACCATTCTTGTTCATAGTGATTGATTCAAAGCCTCAGCCTAAGTTAGTGTTTTCTGCTTTACCTAAGGCTCTCCATTTTTCAGAACTGACAGTTTAAATACAGAACCTCTGATGCCTCCTGTATCCATCATGTGCTTGTTGGGTTAGATATTATAAAGATCTTGTAAGTTTTCCTGTCCAGGAATTTGCATTCCACTGATAAAACGTCAACAGGTGTCACGCTTACCACTTACCACAATGCCATACTTTCTGCCGTCGGTGAGGGAATGTCTCATCTTCTTGCTACCGTATTCAAGTGGTTAGAATATTCATGAGGGAGAACAGTGCCCAAATGGAGATTCTACCTGCAGATGTTAATCTGGGTGGACAAATGTCAATTCCCATTTGTATCAGTTCATATAATGGGGCATTTGTTTGCCTTACAAAAGGTTTCTTACTTTTCTTTTCCCTCTCCAGGTACAGTTACAAGTGGGAATGGAGAATTTGGTGACTGGAGTGCCTTCAACCAAGCTGCTCCATGTCCAGCTGCTCCAGCTGGAGAGCTCTTCAGTAGCTCTGCTCAGCCAGCTGTTGAGCTCTTTGCCAGCTCTGCTCAGCAGAGTCTTGGCCAGTCTCCAGCTGCTTCAAATTCTGCTGACCTCTTTGATTTGATGGGTACCTCCCAAGCCACTATGACCTCTTCTCAAAGCATGAATTTCTCTATGATGGGTTCTAACACAGTCAGCATTAATCTACCCATGTCAAGGTCACAGGTATGTAATTGTTCTACAAGCCATTAATGGCTTCATGTATGGAATGGTATCTGAATAGTTTGGACAAATGCTTAGCTTCTTTTATCTGTGTTCTTGAGTATTTTCTTGCCTATTTTGCTTTGATGGTTATTCTTTGAGATTCATTTAAGTGAAAAAAAAAAAGACATCTAAGTCATTCCAGAGAAATAGAACATATTGTAGACTTTATAGCTGTGACATTTTAATGGTTCAGAAGAAGTGTCATTTGCTTCCCACATTGGAGTTTGAAGAGGGGAGTGCTCAATTGCAAAATGTTTGTCCTTTGGTTAGGTAAATTTTCATCTAATTTCCAAAGATTTCAGAAATAATTGGAGAGGTCAAAAATGTAGATGGGAGGAAGAAGAGGATTTTTCTAAGTTATTGGTCTTGGCATAAGCTAATTATTCAGTTCTAGAATCCTAAGAGCTAGGAGGGACTTTAAAGTCATGTAGACCAACCACTTGCTCAATATAGGATTCACCAAGTTGTTTCTGACTGATGACTATACACTCTCTACTTGAAAACCTTCAGCAAGTGAGAACTCACCACTTCATGTGGCAGCCTGTTCCTCTAGCTGACAGCTCCTATAGTTAGGAAATTCCTCCTGATACCCAGCCTGAACCTGCTTCTTTGTAGTTTTATCCCATTGGTTCTGGTCCTCTTCTCTGAAGCAAAAAAGAATAAGTCAACTATGTGAAGAAAAATCCACTCCCTCTTCAGATATTTGAAGACTACTATCATATCACCACTCAAACATCTCTTCTACAGGCTAAACACACTCAGATCTTTTAATCAGATCTTGCTTCTCATAGAGCTTAGTGTCCAGACCCCCTCAACCATCCTGGTAGCCGTCCCCTGAACTAGATTGTCAATGTCCTTTGTGATCTGTGGTGCCATACTGTGGGGACTATGTAGGTTATCCCCTTTCAGATTCTCAATCATTAAAGCAATGAATCTCACAACTCTAAAAATTTATTCAATGTTTCCAGCCTTTGCAAAGTGTTAATCCAATGATACAGAAGCCTAATCCACTGTATAATCTGGGCACAGAGATGGTCCCCAAAAATGTAAGCAAAACTCTGCCTTCCACTTGGTCTGATCCCAGTGTAAATATCAGTTTGGACAATTTAGTTCCTGGTATGCAGCCTTCAAAACCCCAGCAACCATCACTGAACACAATGATTCAGCAACAGAGTAAGTGATCATTCTCTCCTATTTTCTCATGCATGTTTTTAAAATAGATCCCTTTGAATAGGTTTGTCTATGATTAAGATTATCTTCATTTTAAAAATATTTCATATAACTTCGGCTTCAGTGCTTCTACTCTTTTCTGTGAGTAGAATTCATGATGCATTTAAAATAAATATAGGGATTTGCCAGTTCAAGAGTAAATTATGATTTTACACCCATAAGATACAAATACCACCTCAATCTCAAGGTCAAATGTTGATTCTTCTGGCTGACAAACTGCTGCCATCAAAAATAGGCAGTACTGAACTGAATTGATTAATGGCCTGATGATCTTTTAATGCTTCTTTTAAAGCTTGTAGTCACTTAAATGTAGAAATTTTTAAATAGGAAGAAGATAGGCAATGGTGCAAAAGGAGTGTTGGGAAATGAGAATGAGCTTATTCAGCAACTACTAACTAGAGTTTATTGGTTCCCTCATTGTCGTAACCTGCTGTATAATATGAATTGGTAGTACTCAACAGCTACATAGTTGATTGATTTGTGCTAGCTTTGACATATCTTTTAAATGTTGAGAATGCACAACATCAATATGAATGGCATTTCCAAATATCAGAAAGTGGTAACTCTTTATTTCTCTGTTTTGGACCTGAACCTTTTGTGATCCACCAGTACCCATTGTGGTTTGCTAATAGGCAGCAGGCAAGCATAATTGTAAATAATGAGGTGACTTCAGCTTGAAAGATCATAAAGTGTATAGACTGGCTACCCTTCCTAATCTAGTGGCATATCATATCCATTTACTTCTTTTGTCGACCTCTTCTTCCAAACCCTTGGAATCCATCTCTCCAGGCAATAATTGCCCCTTCTTCCTAATTATGATGCCTTTCAGTCAGAGATGAGGGAAATTCAAGCTGAAAAGGAAATAACTTTAAAAAAATTGTTAGGAATGTGCTATAGGTGTACATCACTAAACATAAACGCTTCTAGATATGTTGATAAAGCATCATAAGGGAATAGAAAGAAAAGCTGAAATTTGGAGGCAGGAAAGCTGTAAGAAGTAGAAGTTATATACTATATATAACATTAGGTATTAGAAATGTAGGCAGTGGTGCTATAAAAGTTGTGACTTAAATATCAACTTATTTGAAACTTTGATTTGAATACATCTCCAGGGATAAGAGCAAAAGAGACAAAGAAACTTACCTTAAATAAGTAAGAAAGTAAATATCTAAAGTGTTTTATTAAAGCCACATTTTTCTTCTAGATATGCAACAACCTATGAATGTGATGACTCAGAATTTTGCAACTTTGGGCCTCAACTCACCACCCAGCATGATGCCTCTTCGACCTCCAGCAAATCCATTAATGGGAAGCCCTGTTCCTGTGGGGATGGGAATGCCTCCTCCAATGACTAGCACAATGGGGATGGCTTCCATGGGAGGCCCTAACCCTATGATGAACCAGGGCATGATGGGAATTAATGTGAACATGGCAATGCCAGCAGCTGGAATGGGTTTGTCAGGTACAATGGGCATGGGAGTTCCTAATATAGCTGTGGCATCCTCCATGACTTCTGGAACTGTGCAACCTAAGCAAGATGCCTTTGCCAATTTTGCCAATTTTAGCAAATAAAGATTATAAACCAATCAGATCGAATGAAGGATTTTAGCTGCACAAATAAAGCTGGGATAAGGGTGGAAAATGCTGATCAAATGCTTTTTTTTTTCCTTCTTTTTATTGCTTATTTTAAAGGAACCCACATAAGAATCCAAAGGTCATTTTCTGAACACTAAAACTACTTTTGTTCAAGTTTTGGAATTGAATGTTCTTCCAGTGAATTGACACTGCAGTGACTAGGCCATGTTTTATAACAGGACAATTCAAAGCCTTTCTGGTAGCAGCAACAGTTTTAACTTTGAAACTTATGGGAAGAATGGAATTTGGGGGTAAATATGTGTGAATCTAATTTTATACTTGATTTTTCCTTCCCCCTTGGAATCTGTTTTATCTTAATTGGATCCATTCCTTTTCCTACCACTGAGTCAAATTTGAAGTCAAAGTATGCTGATCAATTTTTTATAAGAATATATATATATATTTTTGTCCAAAAATGGCTTACATATGTGATTATGGCTAATTCAAAGAGACCTGGAATGTATATATACTTTTGCTACTCTTCCAACAACACTGCTGTACTATCCAAATTTTTATTGTAGACCTCTTCAAGCAATTTGCTTATGAATAAAGCTGGGGCAGGGAGGGATGTTCCTGCCACTTTCTGCTATATAATATTCAGCGCAGGACTGGTGGAAACATTGTCCGGAGCTGCTACATGGTTTCCTTTTGGAGAACTCTATATATAATTTGGATTTCTTTTAAAATTGTTTTCTGCAGTCCTGTATCAGTGGCCAGTGGCATATTCCCTAGCACTCTCTGGGGTCATTGTTTACATCACTGATAGTCAAAAGGCAACAATATTTATTTTTCTTTCTTGCAACCTTACAAAAAAAAAAAGGATAACTGCCTTTTAAGTTAATGATAATCATCTTCAAACATTTTGTCAAGCCAATAACATTGAATTTTAGATTTTATACAATTGTTGGCTTTGTTTTATGTAAATATGGCCTTAGCAATTGCAGAATCCAATAGAGAGGAGTTAAATATATATAAATATATATATTATTATTATTGTTAAAGGAAACCTGTAGCAGTCAGATTTTATGAATCAAATGAAAATAAAGGAAGTGAATGAGTGAATTA